CTGGAGACATGGTAAGTCAGAAAGCAAAGGGGTTAATTGGAACTTGGTGCCAGGTGGATAATACATAGCAGAGTTTAGGGGTGAGCTACATTTTATGGCAAATGGACTATGTTAGACTTTGCCAGAGTGGTATTGTACAGCCTGTTCTGGAGGCAACAACAGCAGGGCTGAGAGTGTGGGCAGGAGGATGCAGGGAGATGAAAGATCTAAGTACTGAACTTTGTGATGGAGATGATATAGGGTTCAAACTGCAGCACAGTGATGAGAATACGCTGAATTGCAAATATAACACATACCTGATGCAAGACCTTGATATCCTCCACTCATTTTCATTAAATTCACATTTTAATCATGTATAGGGTTTTTTAAAAAATGTTCTGGTCAGAAAACATTCTGCATATCACTTTGTGGTTTCTATTTTGCAATCAGAGGATGTGGCATACAAATGCAGTTCAGCAGATGTGACCTTTAAGATCTGTCTTGCTATTACTAAGTTAGCATTGATGGCACAAGTACACCAAAGTCCTGTGCTATGATGAGAACTACGTTGCGGTGAGAAGGTGTTATCTTTTATTAAATTCTCAGCTTCAGAAGCATATGTAACAATATATTCTCACCTCGAGCAAAAATGAACGTCTTGCCCTGTAATGTAGAGTTATTTTTCACTCCTGCAAAACCCGATGAAATCGTACATCACCTTTATCCAGATTAGTTTTTTTTAAAATGTGGTGTTTTTAATTCTTTTTAGCGCCCATATCGTTCCTTTTCTTGAAGGGTCACCGGACCCGAAAAGTTAACTCTGATTTCTCTTCACAGATGCTGCCAGACCTGCTGAGCTTTTCCAGCAACTTATGTTTTTTGTTTCTGATTTACAGTATCCGCAGTTCTTTTGGTTTTTATTTTGTTGCTTTTATTCCCGATTATCAAGCTGAACATAAAATATCATATCATTATCCTGATAGCCATCTTGATTTGATGGAATTAGGCTTTTGGGGAATATTAATACAATACATTTAGATGTGTTTTTTGTTTAAATGGGTGAATTGGATGTGGACGCAAAAGCAAATTAATGTGTTTTTTGTTTATCAACATATTGTAAGTAACTTTACCAATAGCATTGTCAAACATAGAACATAGAACAGTACAGCACAATACAGGCCCTTTGGCCCACGATGTTGTGCCAACATATTATTCTACTAAGATCAATCTACCCTGCATACTCTACATTTTACTATCCTCCATGTGCCTATCCACGAATCACTTAAAAGTCTCTAAAGTATCTGACTCCACTTCCACTGCCGGCAGCGCATTCCACACGCCCACCACTCTCTGTGTGAAGAACCTACCTCTGACATTGCCCCTATACCTTATTCCAATCACCTTAAAATTATGCCCCCTCGTAATAGTCATTTCCACCCTGGGAAAAGTCTCTGACTATCCACTATATCTATGCCTCTCATCATCTTGTACACCTCTATCAAGTCACTTCTCATCCTTCTTCGCTCCAATGAAAAAAGCCCTAGCTCCCTCAACCTTTCTTCATTAGACCTGCCCTCCAGTCCAGGCAGCATCCTGGTAAATCTCCTCTGCACCCTCTCTAAAGCTTCCACATCTTTCTTATATTGAGGTGACCAGAACTGAACACAATATTCCAAGTGTGGTCTAACCAGAGTTTTATACAGCTGCAGCATAACCTCATGGCTCTTAAACTCAATTCCCCTGCCAATGAAAGCCAACACACCATACACCTTCTTAACAACCCTATCAACTTAGGTAGCAACTTTGAGGGATCTATGGACATGGACCTCAAGATCCCTCTGTTCCTCCACACTGCCAAGAATCCTGCCATTAACCCTGTATTCTGCATTCAAATTCGACCTTCCAAAATTAATCACTTCACACTTCAAATGGTCACTTCTGGGTATGAAATCAGTAGAATGCGACTGTACCATAACCAGATGGTAATGTTGTACTGAGAGTGTGACAGCGAAAGCATTCATTATTTAACGCCCTTCGGTTGTTGCACTTACTACCTTTCTTTCTCGTATCCATGTTTCCAATGCAAAATTCGTCTGTAATTTTCCCCGATGTTCTCCCATGGTACATAGATTAAATGACCTTTTACACATATTGCCCTGGAATTCCGTCGAGGTTAAGCGGGGGGGATTGGGAAGACCTGTCAATTTCTGGGCTGACAGGGTCAAGATTCCGCTTAATCATCGCCAAAGCATGAGCTCTTGTCCATGCCCATGAATGGATGTAATTCAGGTGCAGGCAGCAGACCTCAAAGGGCAAAGGAAGCAAATACATGGGAAAACCAGCACCTTCGTATTCCCCTACAAGCTACATACCGTCTAGGGAACTATAGCCACATTCCTTCTCCAAGACTGGGTTAAAATCCTGGAATTCCCTTCCTAACTGCACTTTAAGTGTCGCTACGTCCCAAGGACGTTAAGTTGAAGAAATCAGCTCATCCTCTGGGGCAATTTTGGACAGCTCACTGCCACCTTCATCGGGGCAATTAGGGAAGGGAAACGACTGCTGTGTGCATCCTCTGTTTGAATATAACTTAATCGAAATTTTTATCCAGTGACATAATTCTTTCAAATATAGGAACCTTCCTCTATTAATTATGGAGTAAGGACTTTTAAGCTGTCGTTTCCTTGTCTGTTTGAATGGTGGTTGCGTGGATATATTTTAAATCTAGAATGCATGTGTACACAAAGATCTCTATGGTCCCAATTCATAAAGATGTTGAAAGCAGTTGAATCCCCTCGTTCTGTATGAACATTTAGTGGTGAGCAGCGGTCAGTGTTGCTGTTACAATGTAGACAGAGAAACTACCTGTAGGTGTATGTTACAGACAGCGTGGGCAATTTTATTGGTTTCATTTTACGTGCGAGAATATATGTGGGTGATTTACCCAAACCCATGCCGCTGTTTGCACGCAACCATACAGTGTGGTTAGTGAGAAAATGAACAACAGCTTTCTTTTCTCGCGGGTTTAATTTTTATGACAGGCTGTTCTTCTTCCAACGAAGTGGGCCAAAATGGGCCGTGTTACTTGGGAAACTAAATGGGGGATGAACTGAAACCTTTGAGAGCTAGCGAAGAGGAGATAACAAACCCGGCGTGAACTATTGCAAAAACCGAAGGCGTTTGGAATTACAGCAGTCTAACTCGGGGTTGGCGCCTCGCCATAACCTGATTTAACTTCTTTTTTCGCTCAGTAAGCATCTGCGGCTCACTGACTCTGCGTTTTGGTTTGAACGTTTTCGCTTGTACGGTAACTCGAAGTCAGCAGGATACATTCTAAGAATGGGAAAACGGGGTTGCAAGGTGCTTGCAAATCTGAGTTTAATGCAAAGATTAGGTCCTAATTATCGATTATCATAACTAGAATTTGCCTGGAGGTGTTGAACAGACATCTGCAGGTTTTGCACTCAAACACTGGGGCGACCTAAATATTGCGGAGTTCCTCGCAAACACTCCCACTGAAAGTGTGGGCTATTTTGACCAGTGCTATATTCCAGGATGGCTCTGGGACTGAGGGATAGCCTGCACAGGTCTCGTCTGTGTCTTGTACAAGTAAGAAATGCCTTTGGTTTGTTTGCTAGGTAGAGTCAAACTCTAATGTTTGTTTATTTCTTCAGATGCTACTGTGCAGAACCGAACTGCTTTAGTGACTACTCTGTATATAAAGATACTTTATGAGTAAAATATACGTTTGAAATAAAACAAAAGTACTCCAGATCCAAAGGGGGAGACCATGAGGAGTGCCATCCATCCGCAGCGAGCAGGGGTTCCCCCTAACCCTCCTGCAGGGGCTGGTGCTGTTCTGCCTTGCTTCCTGTACCCCTCCAGGCAAAAGTGTTGCAGTTAGCACGCTTTCTGCCGGTGGCTCCTACATGGTGAAGCAACACAGCACTTTCGGGTATAATTTAAAGTCCTCGGACGCTTTCCGGAGAAAAGTGGCTGACAATTTTGACAAACTGTCTCGGGGAGTTTACGCAGGTGTTTCGTAGATTCTCTGCACAACTCCAGCAGCGACGATCTCGAGTGAAATCGCTATTCTCCAATGTATATTCATCCCCACGTTTACGTTCAAACTGGGAGCTGCTCTTAGCAAAGGGAATCCTGAACGGCTGGGCATAAAATGTCTAACAATCTCTTCATTAAGCGCCAACAGGTATTTAAAGTGACAATTTGCTGGTTCACGAGCTCCCACGCCATCACTGCAATTGTAGTTTGCATTTCCTTAACCGAGGTAGCGTGTTGCGTTAAACATTGCCTTAACCAGCCGTTCACCTCAAGAGCCCACCTTGATCATCTCCTTTCTGCTTTAAGACCTAAAGTATTCATTGAAGGCTTATCCCCACAAGTATTATACCATAGTAGGGACTAATTCTACTCTCAAGTGTCTATAGCTTGCTTGATTTCTCACCGGCTCTTAGCATTCTTGTCTCCTGAAGGATAAAGTGGTGGCTAATTTATATAATTTACGCTTTCATGTGGCTGAACTGTATCAAAGAAGCCTTCAAACTCTTCGCGAGATTAATATCCAGCATTAATCTGTTTAGTTTATGAAGAATCGATGTTTCTCACTGACCATGAAAGGAAGAACCTTTTTATGGGGGTGGGGGGAGGGGTTATGCGGAAATGAACAATTTCTGTTTTTATTTTCATTTCCTGCCATTGATTTCAATCTAGCGCCAAGTTAAGGGCTTCTCAAGTTTCCAGCTGTGGTCTCACCAAACAGGCTAAACAACTAATCAGATTGAAGCATTCCAACAGACAGCAAACCTGAAATTAAAGACTTTGAAAATACCTTAACTTTTAATTTTTTTGCAGGTTCTTACATGAACATAAATGATTGGGATAGATACATGGGACTTTGGTAAAATCTAATTATTACACACAAACTGTTAAAAGTATTTTTAAGAAAAAAAGATTTGGAGTTCCATGACAAAATAGAGAAGTTTGGCATTCAACATATATAAACTTGCTTTTGCAGCTTCAGTGGGCTTTTCTTTTTAGATAATTATCAAGTTACTGTGCTGTTAAAATCCACTTACACTTAATTCGAAAAAAGATTTTGAAGTTTTACTACACTACAAGTTCTACTACTGAGAAAAGTAGGGTAAAGTAGCCATAGTCCTGCGGGTCCATACAGCTGCACTCTTATTGGAGAGAGACGACTAGTGATGGTTAAACATGAGTGTCAACAAGCCTCAGGCAAGGAGAGAGGTTGAAAAGAGTCCTCCACGGTAGCCTCAGTCGGGACTGAGAGAATAACAATAAATCATTATTTCAATGATTTCTAATGGAATGCTTTCTGGAGAACCTCAATACTTTACTGCCTGTCCTGCGGCAACATGGGACCACTGACAGCATCTTTCACGTTTATAACTGCACATGAGCACCTATGTCAGATTAGTTTAAACAAGTGCCTCCAGTTTACAACAAGCCATTATCTCCCTCCTCACTAAACGTCCGAATCGGCATCTCCCGTTATACATCTGATTCATGAAACATGTGATTACAAGATCAGTTTGCAGAATGACCAAAACACAACAGGAGCAAATAGTTCCCATTTTACAGTTAGATGCTAGCGCAGATCTTGTGCTAATTTGAACAGAAAATGTTGGAAAGTGTGACAGGGTCAGGCAGAAGTTGTGGAGATGGGAAAGATGGCGATAAGACAACAAAAATGAGCTTATATGACAATGAGGATTCCGGGAGTGATTAGACAGTAATGCGGATTTTTGCGGCGCAGTGGTAACACCCCTACTTCTGAACCAGGGGGCCCGGGTTCAAATCCCACCTGCTCCAAAGGTGTGCAATAACATCTGTGAACAGGTTGGTTAGAAAATATCCCAAATGCCAGGAAGAATGATGCTGCCGCACGAGGTTTTTCTCTTCCTGAAAGCTGCCTAATCTACAAAACGCTCTCAGCATTTCCTGACTTTAGTTTAGATCTGCAGCTTTCTTCCAACATTAACGTTTGGTCAGAACATTTTAAAGGACTGTAAGCTGCACTCTACCGCATCTGAGCTTCGCTCTGTTTAAACTGCAGCTGGGAGTAAACCATTTGCTCTTCGTGTCCGCTTTCTGTCTTGCCTTCTGGTTTGCGGCTGTTCACCGTTGAATACTCCACCTGTGAGTGTAGGACAACGCATTAAATTTCCGTATTTTGATATATGAATAATTTGAGCAAAGAACTACATACTTTTCGAGATTATATCAGTCTGCACAAATTGCAGCAACTCATCCTTCACACTGATCGCGCTAAGTTCATTCACACGATGTTAATTCACATTCGAAAGATGCCTCTCAGTAGGCTCACTGGATAAATATTTCATTACTTTTAATTGCTGCATCATGATCGTTGTATTATTTTCTAAAACCTTTTGAGTAACTGGATTGTGGCAGCACTCTCTATTTAATTCGAAATCTACGACCATTGTTTAAACCAACGTGCCTCGCCTGTTGAGACATTGGTCGCTTTCCTTTCCACAAACAGATCAGAATTAACGACCTCCAGATCCTGCGGGTCTTCTCCATTTCTTGCAGAAAACAAGGTCGCATATATTGTTGTACCTGACCTTGAAGTGTCCTGGAGAGAACCAGCAGTATTAATGGTTATTTTCGTACAGACCTCTTGGCGAAGTGTCCCCGAAGTGAATTTTGTAATGTTATTTTACACAGTAAAAGATGACAAAAACTTTGCAGATACGTTATTTATGTCATAATGATACGTGGGTTCAGCCCACACTGCCGAAAACATTTTACAATTAAATATAGTACAATTAAAATAATAGCAAGTTAAATAAATTGCATGACTATTGTTTTTTTTTTATGAAGATCATAACCTAGCAACAAATGCTAGTCTTGCTAGCGAATTCCACATCTCAGGTCATAACCTGTCATGGGATGTGGAATTCGCTAGCAAGACTAGCATTTGTTGCTTTTCCGTAAATATTACACAGTGGCGTGCTGGGCCATTTCAGAAGACATTCAAGTGCCAATAATACACTGCTGGAGTCACATGTAGGCGAGAATGGGTAAGGGCGGCAGATTTCCCTCCGTCAACCAGATCCGATTTTTTTACAGCAATAGATAATAGTTGTTATGGTCGCCATCATTGAGATACCCTTTAAGTTCCATTTTTCTATGTTGAGTTTGAATGTGAAGCCATGTCTCCTGACTGGGTCCGGGCCTATGGATTACGGGTTCAGCAACAATAACATTACGCTGCCGGTTTCAGATATAAAGTTCTGCCGTCATTTCTCTCGCTTTCTCTTGCTGACTCGCCTCTTATTTTCTGCAATTTTATTTTCTGTTTCTATTTCATTCAAATGACAGCGTCAAAACTCGTGCGAGGCTTTCTGATCTCTATCTTCCCAACTGCCGACTCTCCACCCACAAGCTCACACTCTCTGCTACCCAGTGTCCTGGACTATCCGTCAGCGGGCCTCCACACGAGGTTAGAGCCTGGTTATCGGCAGAGCATCTGCGGGACATCATTACCTCAGACCTCTCTAATTTCCCTTCCCGAAATAATCTTCAGCTTTTTAGAGACATTTACTTTCCAAATGACAACACGTTTCACCCAAAGACAGGGACCACCTGACCGTGCCAGCTTGCTCCCGCCGACCTAGACTGAACTGACTCCCGCATGAAGCGCTTCACAAAGTCTTGATGTTCTGAAAAGTACCATAAAACAAACGCCATCGCTTTCATCCTAATTGTGGTCAAACGCCCTATTTACCGTTTTTATCTCGTCTAGCAACTTGTTTCAGACCATAAGACCACAGCAGGAAAATAAGTAGGCCATTCGGCCCCTCGAACCTGCTCCGCCAATCATCAGGATCAAGCCTGATCCGACACTCCTCACGTCCACTTTCCTGCTGTTTCCCCATAACCCTCGATTCCCCGATTGATCAAGAATCTACCTCAGCCGTAAATACGCGCAAGAATTCAGCTCCCACGGCTCTCTGAGAGGAGAAATTTCTCTTCATCGCAGTCTTAAATTGCGCCCCTTTACTCTGAGGCTATGCTCTCTTGTCCTAGATTCTCCAATAAAGGGAAACATTCTCTCGGCATTTACTATGTCAAGTTACTTAAGAATCCTAAAGGTTTCAATGAGATCACCTCTCATACTTCTAAACCTCAGTGAGCAGAGGCCCAGCCTTTTTAACCTTTCCTCATAAGACAATCTCTCCATACCTGTGATCATCCTAGTGAATCTCCTCGGAACTGCCTCCTATAAAATAATGTGTTTTCTTAGATAAACTGCTCATATTGTCTCATTCTTAAGCACTATTTAACACCTTGCTCCTTGGTAATGTTTGTCGGTGATAAATCTTCAGTCAAAAGATGTGGGGAATCGAATCTGAAGATGATTTTGACAGTAAATGTATCAAATTTCAAATCAAAATCCAAAAACAAGTTAAATATCGGAGAATGGAACAAATGATCGGCGATTATTTCAGAATGTTAGCAAAAACGTTTTCATGCATCGTATAGACTTCACTTGTACATCATAGTAAAGCCTAACGTGTACAATGTGCCGGGGCATGGTCTCAATGCACTAAACACAACCTTATGACAGGTGCAGTACCTCTGGGATAGTCCGGGTAGGCGGGGAACTGTATTCAACTTTTTCCTTCTCTGGAATGACAAACAACCAAAAGTAATTAGAAGCTTATCTTGTGTGTTATGCACAGCCTGAAACTGAATTACATTTATTCGGCCAAGATCTGTACCGGCCTGCAACGTGAGAACGTACCAGAGTCAATATAATCGAAAATAAACTCTTTTAAACACCGAAAGCGCAGAAGCATGTTTTAATCTAGAATCGTGGATCAATATTTGCTTTAAGATCTGAATCGCAACAACCTAACTCAACTGCAAATTAACTGCTGGGGGACCATGAGCTCATTGAAGGACACTGCACACTGGATGACATTAGATTTGTCTTTTGGTAGTATGTGCATCCATGCAATTTATGAGACATTAACATAAAAAAAAAGTTTAAACAAACCACATATAAGAAAGCCACTGAACAGACTTTCAGCTTTTTTTGGTAGCGGTATAAATCTAATTGGACCAGAGACAGCACTCTGTAGCCTATGAATAGAGTGGCTTATCGATACGATATGTTAAACAACATGGCTAACAGGGCCCATCAGAGACAAGGCAAGAATAGCAGCATTAAATCACATCTTCTATACCACAATCCACGTTGAAACGTCTTACACTGCCGAGCTGCAATAACATACATAACTTCTGTATAGAGTGAATTGAGATTTCGCACCGTTACCACTAGTGGAACTATCAAAGTCGAAAGAACGCAATCTGGAATTGAAAACAGGGAAGTGTAGCTCACTATTGGGCCTGATCTTATCAGGACAGCGAGAATTCTGGACTGAAACAAAAAATGCTGGAAATCACATCGGATTAGGCAGTACCCGTGCAGAGAGCAAGCTAACTTTACAAGTCTAGATGACTCTTCATCAACACAGCTCCGATGAAGAGCCTTCGAGACTCGAAACGTTAGCCTGCTCTCTCTCTCCACAGATGCTGCCTGACCCGCTGTGGATTCCAGCATTTTTATTGTTTTCAGTATAGATTCCAGCATCTGCAGCAATTTGTTCCTAGCGAGAATTCTGGAGCCAGATAGGCACAGCCCAGGAGATACAAGCTCTGGTTTTTAAACATGTTTAAAATATCCCGATTGCAAAGGCATGAAACGAGGAAACATCTCACTAAAGGGCATTCAGGTACACTCAATGTAAAAAGAAAAGTGCATGAGCGTGAATTGTATTTCAGCACTGAATAGGCTGACATGAGCATTAGGTTACATCCAGAGATATTTAATCATCAGGGAAAGGAATCTGCAGTAAGCCTATGTACAGTACTGTTGTGGCCAGTCGGTGCACTGTACCTTTCTGTGTTAGTCTGAGAGTTGAGAACGCTTGGCTTGTCTCAGAGTGGTGAGTTTTGGAGAGCTCAGCAGATTTTAATACAGAAAACGAACCCAAATCCAAATCTAAACAGCCGATGGACAAATATAAAGTTAATGTAAAGTGGTTTCTATTGTGAGTCGAGACACAAGTACGGTGTATACCGCACAGTAGCCAAAGAATTCCCAGAAAGCAAAACGAAAGGATTCGCTTTTAGAAAGGCGATGAACATCGACTGAGGATAAAGGTAACTGTTACATTACAATGAGGGCACCTCATGTTATTCACCAATGTTTTCATAATGATGCGTTTTTGTAGACAGGAGAATACCATTGGCCAAAACATACAAGGTCATGAGCCAAAGGAATTGGAATTGTTCGGTTATTGTTTTTGACCGGGGCAGTCTCGAAGACTGATGGGCCCGTTTCCGTGCAGTAGACCTCTTTAACTGTATAGTTGAACAGTGGATATGGCAATGAATTGATAATTGAAACTTGATTGGAAAACAATTTTGGTGGCAGTCTAGTAAGAAATTTGAAAATATAATTATCTCAAGATTTGTGGAAGATGTGACCTTCATATGTTACATAACTTCTTCCCTGGAGATTAATGCTTTAAAAACTGTGCGACAATTACAAACGCTGCTACATTCTAGCTACCGTATATAAACAGAGCTTTAACAACACCCTTCGACTGTATCTTTTTTTTTAAATGATTCTATCCCACCTGATGTACAAGAGAAACGAGACAGTCTCCGTTTTCGAGCAAGCGTTTGTTATGCTATACCACTATATTAACCTGCCACATTGGTATATTAAATCGTGGCAATATTTTGTATTAATGAGAAAAGTAGGTGATAAGCATCTAACATTTCTAATAATAGTATAGTACTCACGTTTCATTTTCTTGTTGAATACCACAGCGAGGAAGATAACGCATAAAATCAGCGGTATACACAGCAATTGGTAAAGGAACGGATTTTTGTATCGATCGCGTTCTTAAAAGAGAGTTGCATAAATGTAAAATGAAAATCTGTGCCGAACAATTTAACTAATATGATTTTAATTAAAACCAAATAAAAATAATTATTGTCATTGCACCAGCCGTCTGTGAGCTGACCCCAGGATGTATATCTATGTTTTGTGCGTTCCCGTCAAGTAACAACCTTTAATTATATTTGTTAAGCACAGAAGAGAAAACCGCTGATGTTTATCCCGAATGTCTCCTTTGGCTTGCTTTAGGAAACGTGTTCTTTCATTTAAACTTAAAACAGCAAGAAAAAAAGTTAAAATTGCGTCGAACACAGCCGCTGGATGAATTCCCAGAGAGTTTACCATTAATCATCCAATGTCCTGATTGGACAGACGGTTATTTTTTTCTAAAAACGTGAGATTTCTGCAGACTGTTCGTCCCTAGCGCTGGAAATCAAGGAGACAGTCAGGATTTCTGCGGAATGATTTAGTCAGAATTTTCATTGTGTTTGGTTTTAAGTTTGGTTTTATTTACCGATTTTGTTTCCCCCAAGTGTAAAAAAAAACGATGTAGCAGCTAGCAGCGAGCATCAAGTCAAAACTCACCCCAGTAAAACCTAACATTCGGGGAAAGTCAGCAGATTTCGGGATTAATTACATTTCTGTTTGTTGACTGCTATATATTTGCACGTGAAGGGTTCAATATTCGCAGGTCAGGACATCACCTGACGCATTTATAAGCATTCACCAACACACTCCAAGCATTGAATGCAATTCACAACCAACGGTCTTTACGTTCTCAAATGGGCAGCGGGAGATGATGCAAATCCTCGTTGTGCAATAATGGGGGAAACAGAATGATAGTTCAGAAGCGGTTCTCTGACTATTTACAATTCGACCTGGATATATTGAACTGCACCGTATTAGCGATCAGAAAATAAACTTCGCTTCAAATGCCAGTTATTGACTGTGCCGAAGTGAAATTGTTTTCAGGTTTGGACACATTGATGCACTGAAACCAGTTGCATGTTGCGGACATCTACATTTTACACCCGGTTTCTTCCTCCCCCCAGTGGCCGTGCTTTATGGCTGGACCAAAGGTTCAAACTCTACCGAGTTCCCATCTTCACTTTGCTGGAGTGACAATTGTCATCAGGAATTGTCGATTTGCTCAATTTCCCTGCCGTTTACAACTTCCCAACAAAAATCGCAGCAATACCGATGATTCGCACACTGTGCATGAGGATGTGTGACTTGTAGTATCCCCTCATCGCTGGGTCCTGGCTCAATCCTGTTTCACAGCACAAATAAACATTTGGTCATGGAGACAGTGATTGACTGGGTGCGATACTGCTAACGCTGGTACACTTTGAAACAATGGGACTTACCCGTCACTGTCAATCTGCTTCCATTCCCCCACAACACTTTAATAAAAGGTTGACTCAAAGCCAGGAATTCACAATAATACGTGCCGCCGTCTCCTAGCTGAAGGTCGCTTATTGATAACTGGGATATATTTCGTTCCCGGTCTAATGTATGGACCAGTCGGATTGACTGATTTGCCATGAGCTTGTCCATATAAACAATTGCTTCGTCCTGATTACTTTGGTTGTTTGATTGATGAAACCAATTGATTGCATAGTCCTCAACTCCTTCAGGGGAATAGTAACAGGTCAGGTTCGCTGTCCCTCCTTCAGTCACCAGGAGAGTTCTTGGAGTCTGTACAACCCGAACCCCTTCAGTAGCCCCCAGAGCCCAACCTGGACAGTAATTGAACATATATATCCATAACAATGCCAGGAGGTTCATGTTAACAAGGTGCTACCGGAGGACGTCGGTATGAAGGCTCATTGGGGACAGCAGAGACACTGGGTCCCTCCTCTTCATCTTGGTAGAGGGCTGGGCGCGGATGTAGGGCGTGCGGAATCTGAACGTAACCACCCGCATGTGGGTTAAAAAGCTCAGCAGCTCAGAGTTCTCACGCAAGCTGTCGCCGCCACAAATAGCACCGGCGACTTCAGTCTGCGGAAACAACAACTGAAGGCTTTGACACCGTCTCCTCCCACCTCTTTGCTGTTCACATTTAGCCCTGGGTTCTTGTTATTAAAAACAAAACCCATAACACCCTGTGGGGGGTTGCTATCACACATACCTAGAGTGGGTGGGATTTGAACCCAGGCCTACTGGCCCAGCGATAACTACACTGTCATTGCACCATAAGAGCCCCTTTATTCTATTGATATAGAAATACTTAAGAACTAGGAGCAGGAGTAGGCAATTCAACCCCAGGGGCCTGCTCCGTCATTTAATACGATCTTGGCTGATCTCACCTCGGCCTCAAATCCACCTTCGTGACCGTTCCCCATAACCCTTCAAATCCTTACTAATTACAAATCTGTCTATCTCCTTCTTAAACTTACTCAATATCCCTCATCCACCATACACTGGGGCAGTGAATTTCGCAAATTCACGATTCTTTGACAGAAGTTATTCCTGCTCATCTCTGTTTTAAATCTGCTTACCCTTTAACCTAAAACTATGACCTCTGTTCCAAAGTGCTTCACCAGGGGAAACATCTAATTTGTCAAACCCTTTTAACATCTTACATATCATTATTTGATCTCCTCTCATCCTCATAAAAACTAAAGAATATAGGCCGAACCTAAACGGCTCAGACTCTCCTCACAAGACAAGTCTTTCATCTTGGAATTAATCTTATGAACCTTCTTTGAACTGCCTCCAATGCGTTTTTATATCCTTCCTCAAGCAACTATATGGAATATTCCAAATGGGGTCTCGCCAGTGTCTTGTACAATTGCAATGATGGATCCGAACAAGCCTGAAAATAAATCGAATAAACGTTCAAATTAAATTGTGTTCAACTGAAATTTGTAATTGTTCATAAGTGTCAATATATATAGGATCAATAAAAACCAAAAGAACTGCGGATGCTGTAAATCAGGAACAAAAACAGAAGCTGCTGGAAAAGCTCAGCAGGTCCGGCAGCATCTGTGAAGGAGAAAACAGAGTTAACGTTTCGGGTCCGGTGACCCTGCCTCAGATGCTGCCAGACCTGCTGAGCTTTTCCAGCAACTTTGTTTTTGTTGTATGTAGGATCAATACTTGCCCTGAATGAAAAGTGCAAAGTCCTCCCGTGCGAACAGATGAATGAATGCACTTCGCTACAAGTTACCGCAGGAAACATGCCCGGGGAGGTGGTTTGAAGTTTTCAGCACAGTGTCAGTGCAGTTGTACTCTCGGTTTCTGCCAGTCAAACAGACATCAATGAAGGGTTTGTGCTGAGAGCACGGGCATAGAGTAGCTGGTGGTGGAGGTGAAGCTCAAGAATAGATTCAGCTTCGTGATAATTGAGTAAAAATTTACCTTGAACTGGTTTGGATTCTACGTATGTCTCTACCCACTCCCCGCCCCCTCCCCATGTCTAAACTCGCGATTCCTCTCAGTTCGCGGCGAGGACAATAATCCTGATTTCTGAGTAGAAAACGTTCAAGAAGAAGGGTCCCGACCCGAAACATCAGCTTTCCGAGACAACAAGGTGCAGGGCTGGATGAACACAGCAGGCCAAGCAGCATCATAGGAGCAGAGAGGCTGACGTTTCGGGCCTAGACCCTTCATCAGCAATGGGGGAGGGGAAGGGGGTTTTGAAATAAATAGGGAGAGAGTGGGAGGCGGATAGAAGAGGGATAGAGGAGAGGATAGGTGGAGAGGAAACAAACAGGTCGAAGAGGCGGGGATGGGGCCAGGAAAGGTGAGTGTAGGTAGGGAGTTAGGAAGGGGATAGGTCAGTCCAGGGAGGACGGACAGGTCAAGGGGGCGGGATGAGGTTGGTCGGTAGGAGATGGAGGTGCGGCTTGAGGTGGGAGGAGGGGATAGGTGGGAGGAAGAACAGGTTAGGGAGGCAGGGACGAG